GATTGCAATGGAAGAGGTCACACAAAAGGTATGTGACTCGTGGCCTATAAAACAGATGATCTCGCCTGTAAACCATCACCTAATTCAGACCACCAAAAAGATGTAGAAATAAAAGTTCAAGTTGGAAAAGCCGGTCACTTTGCCTTTATCCAAGAAATATATAAGGTCAAAGAAGGATTAAGACATGAACAAAAGTCTCAACATTTGTATGCCTACTTGCTAAATTGAAGTGGATGCTCTATATAATAATTTATAGCAATAAATCTATAAACTCCATAATTCATAAGCCATTATGAATTCATAATTCATAATCCGGGCCAAGGTTTCCAGTTTTATAGAGAAATTGAATGAACACATGGCTTATATTTCATTTCTAGAAATGTGTAGACATTTATCGAGCCTTATTAAATATGTGGTACACAATGAACACTATTTATTTTAACAACCACATCTGTGAAGTATGTATTACTGTAATCTTCATTTTGAAGATTAATAGGAGAGATTAAAATAGCAGGCCTAATAGTAGTAGTGTGACAGGGCTTCAAAAAGTTTGTGGAAAAAATGAAATTGAGTAATGGTGAAACTGGCAAGCTGGGTATACATGCCACCCAGTCCGCCTCCTACAGAGAAACAAGAGACCAAGCGAAACAGATGGATGATAATCTTGAAACTTGGAGCTTCAGAACAAGGATATAAAAGTGGACTGAATGCCAACCAGGAGAAGAAGCTGAATAAAAGTGGTGAGGGGCTAAGACAGATGGATAAACTGTCAGCTAGCCTGAAGCAACTCAAGTATCTTGAACTTTCGCAAGCAAGTCAAGACAGAGGCCTGGTATACCAGTGGATCTTGAGCCAGCAACCTATCATCTAATATCAGTGGCTCTCAACCTTCCTCATGCTGTGCCATTTCATACAGGCTCCTCACGTTGTGGTGACCCCCCAGTCATAAAATGATTTTCGTTGCTATTTCCTAACTATAATTTTGCTACAGTTATGAGTTGGGCAACCCGTGAAAGGGTCCTTCAACCACCAAAGGGGTTGCGACCCACAGGTTGAGAACCACTGGTCTACACTGATTCACCAGCTTCTGCAGCCTTGTTAGTTCTCAGCTGACATCTGATTTGCCGACATGGGTCCACTAGCGCCTTCCACCACGTGGATCAGAGAAGACTCCAGCCTGACACCTGACCCACGGATTTGGATTGCGCAAGGATCCACAATCACACGAGCCATTTCCTTGGGTTCTGTGAGATTTTGAAGCGAATTCCACAGTGCAAACGCCAGTGGACAGGGCACAGGTAAGGAGGAAAAGCTGATGATAGCAATGATACAGTAGGTGGGAAAGGTGGACATGTGTGACATCTTTAACCTCCAGCCCACATGTACTAGCTTTGTGGATGCTTTTAAAAGAAATTGTTCCTTTAGTCTAAAAAGAAGTTATCTGTTATTTAATCTTCACAGCTGTCTTCTGAAATAGACTACACCTATTGCACAGATAAGGAAACTGAAGCTTAGAGCCTCAGATGCAACAAGACCTAGAATTCCAGCTGAAATCAGTCCATGAAACACCCACACAGCAAATTCCTACCAGCCCCGTGCCATCATCCCAAGAACACTTCCACCCTGTTCAATAAATGGAACTCATCTACGCTGTGAATGTTCTTGAACTACTGTTGTAGCCTACTGTCCGTTCCCAGAAAGAAAACAACCCAGACCGCCGGCTACAACACTCCCATGCATTATTTGCATTTTCTTCTTTAATTCCTCATCACAGCAAGGGTGAGTAAAGATGCACATTAACGAGAATGCCTGCTTATTTACTCTCGTTCAGATGAGGGAGAAAACAACGGAACACTGAATTAGAAAATAAACGCATTCCCTTTTGCCCACTGTTCCAAAATTGGGGTAGGTTTGAAAAGCAAAGATATTTTATGTCATACTTGCAGAACTGGTAACTAGCTATTACTAAGCTGCGAAGCCCAGGCAGAAGAAATCCTGCCCCACTAATGGAGAGCTATCTCAGGGCCTGAAACAAACAAAATGCTTCTCTACACATTTGTAGATGACACATAAGAAAAAAACTCTGAAAAATTCACATTTTGTGTTAAAAGGTTGTAGGCATTTTCTTGTCAGAATAATGCGTATAATTTTAGAAGTGTACAATGGTGTGGAAAGCATTAATTAATCCCATGAAAGAATGCTATGTCTTTTACTTACCCACAGAAGTATAAACCAGGTACCTCTATCAACCTATATAAATAACAAAATTGCACCAAAAATATGTTGAAAGTGTATTCCTTTACATGATAAAGTTAAAAAACCATTTTTTTAAATTTTGGCCATCAAAAGTTCTTCCTGCATACTTTATTAGCTGTCTCTTTGAACCAAACGACAAAACCAGCAATGTGGGAAACAACAGGAAGAGTGTATGTGGACAAACTCTCAACATTCATACACTAAGGAGTCTGGGAGGCCAAGGATCCCATGGAGAAAACCTTCATGTTTGTGGGTTGGAAACGGGCTCCACTCACATTCTCCTACGTAAAAGTCATTCCCCACGATGTCCCCCATAATAATGCCAAATTTAAGGTGCTACTTGCGAGCACATGCCTGTTACTACCGTTTCCCCGAAAATAAGACAGTGTCTTATATTAATTTTTGCTCCCAAAGACGCGCTAGGTCTTATTTTCAGGGGATGTCTTATTTTTCCGTGAAGAAGAATATGGTACACATTTACTGTTTGTTTTATTAAAAGATACCTCGCACTTCCTGTCTGCTCCGGCTGCGCTGAGGCCAACAGTGAGCTGTGTGGTGGTGCCCGCTGCTACAGTCCAGAGTCCAGAGTTATGGTAGCTTCCAGGGGCCTTAGTTTCAGGGAGGTCTTATTTTGGGGGGAATGCCTTATTTTTCAGCGAGATGCAAACCTGTAAGTAGGTCTTATTTGGGGGAGATGTCTTACTTTTGGGGAAACAGGGTAGATACAATTGAAGGTCAACTGCTTGAAGGCGATCTGGCTAAAGGTTGTCTGCCATCAAGAAGAAATCAGACCTTATTGTCTGTCCTACCTTAAGGATGGTCCACTCCCTTCTGATACAGATAATGGATGGTTCCCCTGAAGAGGAGCTCAAAGACATCTAAGGTCAAGCCAGCTCAAAGATGACCAAGGTTAGGCTGCCATCTTGATTCTAAAGCCTACCCATCTTGTTACGTATATGTCTCCCAGTCACGTGTGTCTCTAGTGTCTCCCTTTCCTATTGCACATACACCTGTACCTTGTTTCCCTCCTGTTACGTATGCACCTACATTGGCGTGAGTGCCCGAGATTATATAAACTCCTGAGGTTATATTACGGCCTCTGCTCGGACCTCGCTCCTGAGGTAATGACTGTGGAGGGGAGCCCTTGCATGTTTTATCTTGGCTGATGTCTCTTTAATTTACGCTGCCACTATACAACCACCCCTTTGGTCCATTCGGTTGTGGGGAGGCTGATCCCCCACAGAGCACACAGAAAACAAGCAACTGAGCAAGCAGTAAGCAAACAGAGTAAGCAACCACGGTTGTTCCTAAACCAGGCCATTAGGGATCATGCTGTGTCTCCCATCAGTCAAGAGAGGCCCCTTCAACTGGTGGGAGGACCGGTATGGTATGCTGGCTAGTATACTCCTAAAGTGGACGTTCTAAAATGAACTAAGGCCAGAGCCCTGGTGATGCAGTAGTTAAGCCCTGGCTGCTAACAGAATGCTGTGCAGCTGAAAGACACAGCAGTCTGTGTCTACAAAGATTACAATGTTGGAAACCCTATGGGATGGTTCTCATCTGTCCTACTGGCCCACTGAGAGCCACAAGCGTATGCTTCACAGCGACAGGTTTGGTTCAAACCAACTAGGAATGGTTCGTCTTCAACAACTTTGGGTTTTCTTTCAGTTTTTTAAATGGTGAAGCTACTTTTAGGCAACAAAGTTCATACCTGTTAACATTGGCCCAAATTAGAAAGTAAAAAATTCAATTTCGATAGTGTGATCAGTTTTAGTTTTGCTTTTTAATGAGAACAGACCTTCGAGGGTGGAACAAATGGAAAGGAGCCTTCAGGCAGGCCACCATTCTTAAGAGCCTTCTAGATGGACTAAGGTGGTAAGCCTAGGGCCTGAGGGAGACCATGATCCCTCCTACTTTCTGATGTGCCACACTGATCCAGTATTAATTTTGCAAACATATTCCTTGATACCATATTCCTGGTGTGTATATATGTGTGTATGATTGGTTTTTTTTTTTTAATTTAAGCTTTATTTGATAAAATTCAGTGTTCCTTGAATTTTAAGTGATAAGACTTTAGTGTTCCCTAACGTGGACCATACTGCCCCCCTGTGGGGAACTAGAACAATCCAGGGGTGGCTATAAAAGCAGATATCTACACTTTATCCAAGATTATGGGTCACAGTGCACAAATTTTCCATTACCAGGGTAATTTTTTTTTTCCCTGAAAAGGGGGCAGTAGCCAGTAAGCATGGCAGCCCATGCTTTAGAGTTTCACGCACCCCTATTCATACAGCAGGGATTCCAGTATGTTTGCCGTGGCACCAAATGCCCTTTATCTGTTCCCCTCAGCACACACGTGCATGCACATACATGTGCGCACACACACAGACACGTGAAACTAAACTGGATTTCCATTTCTGAATTAAAGTAAGTCCCAACTTCCTATTCCATTTGTCCTCTAATGTTGACCCTGAATCATAAACCTTAGCCACTGAGCCATGAACACCTTTAAGTCTTCCAAGTCATATGCCCCAGGCGGTGCCAAGTGGATCTCTTTAAAACTGGACTGAGATTTTCCTGGGCCGGGGTAACAGTTATGGCCTCTGTTTCTTGATCTCGTGGTACAATGAGTAGTCCACAGGATTTGGGGCTGAAAAACAAGTACAAGGACACCCCTCCCCTCTGAGCGAGGGCCTAGTCTTACAGGAGCATCCTGGACATCCCTGAGGGCAGCACATACTTACTGGGGGAGTAAGACGTCTCTAATGAGAGCCAGAAGATTGCTGTCGGAATCAAGGTTCGCCTCCTTTCCGTCCTCAACCTCCTCGTTCACGAGTAGAGATGTGGTTTCTGACAGCAAGCGCAAGCTGAAGAGCCTCCACTCCACTTGAAAGAAACAAATGCCAAGCCTGTGACCCTGGGGCGAGGACTGGGAACAGAGGACGCGGCACAGGGGATGCTCCCCGGCGGGCTGGCACTTACCATTTGGGCTTTGAACCAGGGACACCAGAGGAGGCAGGATATACTCAACAACCTGAAACCAAGGAGGTACAAGATTTACTTAAAATGTTTACCAGATCAAAATGCATGCCGACCACTATCTATGCTTTCCAGGACACCTAGTGGCCCAGTGGTTAAAGTCAAAAGAGTGGCAATTTGAACCCACTGGTTACTCCGTGGGACAGAGAGGTGGGCTCACAGCCTCAGAAAGGTCCCCTACGAGACGGTTTCTACTCACCCTGTGCAGCCACTGAGTTGGAATCAACTGCGGTGATTGAGGGTTTGTTTTCGTTGTCCACTGGCAGAATCATTAATCAAGAGAAATGGGGGGAAGGATGTGGAAATCAATGACATTACCCTGGATTTAAATTCTAACACTTAATAAACGACCACACATTGAACTCTGAAGGTGTGCTCCAGACAAAAGGGCATTATGGCAGCAGAAGAGTAACTAGCCATTTTCAGTTGATGAAAAGGGGTTTGGGTCTGCAAGGGGACTTCAAAAAGTTCATGGGGGAAATCCCATTATCTGTTAGTACCATTTCTTTCCCCACAAAATTTCTGAAGCCCTGTAGATAATACAAAATCCGATTGGCACAGGTTGGCAATAAGCCGTGAAATTAAAACACGTAAGCTGCGGATCATTCCCAGGTTATAAGCCAAACAACGATCAAATGCTGGAGGGGAAAAGGAGACACATAATCCTCATGTTTTATCAAGGACATCAAAGAGCTATGGCAAGATCATCTTGGTTATTTTTAGAAACAGACGCCAAAGATGGAAAACTGACAGGAAACAACCCTGTCTTTCACCCGTAAAACAGAGCAACAACCAAATACGGTCTGAAACTTATCTCCAAATAACAAGCTTTGTTTGTTCCACCAAAATACTGATTTTTTTTTAAAGGCTACATCATCACAGAGGTCTCATTTTAAAAGCTATTATCTCATTTAATAAATGCTTTCAGTGTCAGATAAAAATTCCTGTAGCTCCAGCCTTCTCTCCCCCCAGAAGAATTTACTTCAGAGGACAGCACTGAAGCTACAGCTCAGGGAAAGGGACATATCTGACCAGAGCACATGGGAGCAAATGAAGGGGGAAGAAGAGAGAGTGGAGCACCTCCTGGCCCACCAAGCCTTGACGACGGGATTCCCACTCAGAGCAGCCAATGCACAGAGAGGACCATATGGCCAGCCCCAATATGAGACAAGACATCCCCCAATGGCCCATAGCCCTATGGGGGACAACACTGAAGACAGTGTGGGAATTGCACCAGATCTGACCCCACCATACCTAGGCAAAACACTAAGGGGGTGCAATAGAACAGCAAAGGTAGCAGAGCAAGAAAGTCCTGAGGGAGTACCAAAAATAGAGTTTGGGGCCAGGGCATGGCACCCCATCAGACTCAACCAGAAAACCTCCTAAAGGTCAACATACAGACCTTACACTATTTAAAGGCTTTTTTGTTTACCATTTTTTGTTGTTTTCTTTTCTTTCGTTGCTTTGTTTTGCTGTCTTGTTTTTGTGTATATTATTATCTCTACAGGTCTATATACATAAGATAGGCTTGATAACCAGTCTGTAGAGAAAACAATGGACCCACAGTTTCAGGGGACCACGGGGGTGGGGGTGGGGGAGTGGTGTTATCAAACCCAGGGACAAGGGAATAACAAGCGATCCAAAATCGGTGGTGAAGTGGCTGTAGGTGGCCTTCTAGGGATTGATCAAGGGCAATGTAACTGAGAGGAATTACTGAAACCCAAATGAAGGCTAAGCATGATACTAGGACAAGAGGAAAGTAAGAGGAAATAGAGGAGAAAGAACTAGGAGGCAAAGGGCATTTATAGAGGTCTAAATACAGGCATGTACGTATGTAAATATATTTATATATGATGGGGTAATAGATCTATGTGCATATATTTATAGGTTTAGTATTAAGGTAGCAGATGGACATTGGGCCTCTGCTCAAGTACTCCCTCAATGCAAGAACACTTTGTTCTACTAAACAGGCATTTCATGATGCTCACCTTCCCAACATGATCGCTGAAGACAAAGTGGGTGCATAGCAAATGTGGTGAAGAAAGCTGATGGTGCCTGGCTATCAAAAGATATAGCATCTGGGGTCTTAAAGCCTTGAAGGTAAATAAAGAGCCATCTAGCTGAGAAGCAACAAAGCCCACATGGAAGAAGCACACCAGCCTGTCTGATCACGAGGTGTCGAAGAGATCAGGTATCAGGCATCAAAGAACAAAAATTCATATTGTGAACGAGGGGGAGTGCAGATTGGGGACCCAAAGCCCATCTGTAGGCAACTGGACATCCCCTTACGGAAGGGTCGCGGGGAGGAGATGAGCCAGTCAGGGTGTAGTGCAGCAATAATGAAATATATTTTTCTCTAGTTCTTAAATGCTTCCTACCTCCCACTATCATGATTCCAATTCTACCTTACAAATCCGGCTAGACCAGATGATATACGCTGGTACAGATAGGAAGTAGAAACACAGGGAATCCAGGACAGATGAACCCCTCAGGACCAGTGGTGAGTGGCAATACCAGAGGGTGAAAGGAAGGTGAGGTAGAAAGGGGGAACCGATTACAAGGATCTACATATAACCTCCTCCCTGGGGGAACCTCCTCCCTGAGGGGCAGACAACAGAAAAGTGGGTGGAGGGAGATGTCAGACAGTGTAAGATATGACAAAAGACTAATTTATAAATTATCAAGGGTTCATAAGGGAAGGGAGAGTGGGGATGGAGGAGTAAAAAACGAGGAGCTGATACCAAGGGCTCAAGCGGAAGGCGAATGTCTTGAGAATGATCGTGGCAACAGATGTGCAAATGTGCTTGACACAATGGATGGGTGTATGGATTGTGATAAGAGTTGTATGAGCCCCCAGTAAAATGACTTTTTAAAAATAAATAAAAGGGAAGGTAAACTAAAAAAAAAAAAAAAAGAATCCAAAGAGACCTTCCTAAGTCAAAGAATGTTCCATGTTTATGGAGTTCAAAACAAAACAAAACTCCAAACTCACTGCTGTGGAGTCAATTCTGACTTACAGCAACCCTACAAGGCAGGGTTGAACTGCCCCCGTGGGTTTCTAAGACTAACTCTCTACTGGAGTAGACAGCCTCATCTTTCTCTCAAGGAGCAGCTGGTGATTTCAAACGTTGAACTTCCAGTTAGCAGTCCAATGCACAACCAGGGCTCCATGACTACGGATGGGCAGGATTAACATTGGGAAAATGTCGACAGTACCTAAAACAGCCTATAAATACAATGCAATTGAGATACAGATCCCAACTTCATTCTTTAAAGAAATGGGGAAACTAATTAGTAACTTGATATGAGAGGAAAGGATAAGCAAAGAACATCTTAAGAAGATCGAAGGAGAGGAGGTGTGTTACACAGGGTTCTCTAGAGAGATAAAACCAAATTCCTGATAATATATTTATTTATAAAGATAATTAGATATATAAAACAAGAAATGAAATGTTAAATCATAAAGATAATTAGATATATAACAAGAAATGAACTGTTAAATCATATACAGATAAATATACAAGAAATAAACAGTTAAATTAGAAGCACTACAAATGGCTCAGTGCAACTCACGTCCGTGAGAGAAAGTTGAGAGACTAGCAATCCTTCCCAAGTCTCTGTCTGATGCCAGATCTTCCTCTATTTGTAGAGAGAGCTAGGCTATGTCAGCACAGCAGCCAATCACAAGGCAGGTCACCAACGGCCAGTCCCCAGCTCCAGAGAAGTCTTAAAGGGACCTCCACTTACAGCAACACAGTCCACAGGCTAGGTGTCCCACAGGCAGTGTAGCCTTTAAATTGAGGCACAGGACAAGCAAGGCAGCCGCACACTGGTCCGATGATCACGGAGCGAGAGACAAGAAAGGCAAGGCTCACCAAGCCATCCATCTCTCCATCCCTCAGTCAATCCCACCTGCGTTTATCAGCCAGGCTGGCACAATAAACTATCTCAGGAGGCCTCTCACTTACTGAGCTCAAAACCTCGTAGTTAAAACAATGATAGATACATAGAACAGAATAGAGAACACAGAAATAAATCCATCCACCTATAGAGCTTTGCCAAAAGGTTAAAAAAAATAATGGGAAGAGAGAACATAATCAACAGATGGCAGTGACAGGCACAGTACCTCAGAGGAGTTCTGGATGTTCAACCACTTCAAGAGGCAGCGTAAGATCAGGGACCAATTGTAATAAAGTCCAAGCTGCACAGAAGGCATTGGTGATAAGCAAGAATCCAGGAATTGATAGAATACCGACTGAAATGTTTGAACCAACGATGCCAGGAAATGTAGAAGGCAGGACCTAGCCAATTGACTGGAAGAGATCCATTTGTGCCCATTCAAGAGGTGACCGAACAGAATGCAGAAATTATCAAATAGTAATAGTGCATGCAAGTAAAATTTTCCAAAAATGATTCAGCAGTCCATCAACAAGTACCTTACAAAAATTCAAGTGTTTCAGAAGAGGTTGTGAAATGAGGAATATCATTGCTGACAGATATAACACATGGACTTTGGCTAAAAGCAGAAAATATCATAAAGATGTTTAAGCCTATGCAAAGGCATTTGATTATGTGGATCATGCGTTATGGAGAGCATTGTGAAAACGTGGAATTCCAGAACACTTCATTGTGCTCATGCAAAATCCAGACTTAAGACCAAAGGGCAGTCGTTGGAACAAGAAACTACCTAGTGGTTTATGTTAGGAAAGGTGTGTGTCAGGGTTGTATCCTTTTATCACACATATTCAACCTGTAATGAAGGGCAAACCATTGCGAAGCTGAACATGAAAAACGAGGCCTCGGGATGGAAGGAAGGCGTAGAACAGCCTGTGATAGTCAGAGGACACAGCTTCGCTTGCTGGAAACCAACAAGGACTTGAAGGTGACCCTTACTGATGACGATCCAAGACGCTTGCCTTCAGTGTGGTGTACATCCCAAGGTAAAGAAAGCTCAAAGCCTCATCAGGATAAATGGAGAGCAGATGGAAGTTGTCT